TTTTGAGAATTCCAGTGATTACAGAAAATATATTTTGGCGTCTACACAACTGCTCAACATAATGTATCCTGCCTTGATGTAAGATATCTGAAAGTTTTCTAATATGGGGAAGGGCAAAAATCTTAATGGGACAAATGGTGTGTGTGACTTCACATCTTGAGGGTCATTTGGCAATAGGACAGCATTAAACGGTGTATGGCCACTTTAGCAAAACTCCATGCCCAGTTCTGCCTTGGATCATCTCACATGGCCTTGAGAAAGCACGAGCAGCAGTGGAAATGTGGGAAGCAACAGGGCCAGGGCAGGAAAGAACAGGGGCTGGTCAGCCCAGAGAGCTGGGCTGAGGGTGTGGACCACAGGCAGCGCCCCCATGGGAAGCTGTGGGTCTCGGACAGGTGGCCTGGGGCAGATGGCCTGCAGGCCTGTTTCCTTCACCAATCTGAAGAAGCAAGGGACCATCATCACTTCGTTCTCTGGAGGTGCCATGATGGGCATTGCATAAAGATTCAGAGTTAAGAAAGTTTTTGTAGTAAACTCATGGGTCTCACAACCAGTCAATACTGGCTGACCTTACTCAGAAATAAAGCTCTGTTCTTGAAGAGATTGTCCCCAAAGGGCAGCCTTCTCTGATCCTGTGAAGAGCTTTGTGTAGGGGCCAGTCAAAACTTACTACTTTGTGGATTGCAGGTGGAGTTCTCCAGAGCCCTCTGGAGAATGTGGGCAGGGCCCACATTCTCTGGTCACATGTCTCTCAAGCTGAGCTTGGAAAGAAAGATGTATGAATTGTGATGTTGTATATGAAACAAAAACATGCTAAACTCTCTGATGCTAAGGAAACCTGAATATGAATTTTGAAAGCTAATACCCACTCTCCCTATATTTTCCATAATTTCACACATTGTATTTGGTTAAATTATGCTTCCCCATTGCTACTCCCAGCCTAAAGGAGTCTACAGATGACTAAGACAGTACTTTCTCATCTCTGAGTGTTTGCTAGGTAGCTGCTGCCCAAAGCCTGCAGGCCCACATAAGATGCTGAAGTCCTTAAGTTACTGGGCAGGTAAGCTGGTGTAGACAAAAGCAGGAAGTGAGTTGTATTTCATCAGCTACTTCGATCTTCTAATCACACCCTGAGAATAGGCACTATAATATTTTCCTTTGAATTTTAAGTGTCTGCCTTATGATTTCTGATTGTGGAGAGAAAGGGAGGCACTCAGCAACTTTCCTGAAAAGTGCTTTGCCTACATGGCAGTCTGGGAGCAAACCATAGCATCTGGCCTCTATATGGTGACTTCTCATTTGAACCTCAAAGAAAAAAATCATCATGAGCAAAGGTCCTGGGGAGCTGGTATGACAGTAAAGTCAGTTACTCTTTGAATGGTGGATAACAGGATAACCCATGAGCAGGAAGCCTGACATGCAGAAAGAGACCAAGAAAGAGAGAGAATGAAATAGCAATGCGGGGAGGCTGGGGAGCTCAGGCCCCCTAAGAGACAAGGGTTGACTGAAATGTCACGGGTTCTCTTCCTGCCAAATAATATCCAACTTCCCTGATAGTTCTGACCGAGCTATCTCTGGTCCTGGTCACCTAACTCCATATACCTGTGAGCTAGAGTCTGGGGCATGATTCTGGGCAGCACTGGGCTGCATCCTAATGGGTTCTGATTGCACATGGAGTGGGACCAGGGCTCCTGGGTGTGTGGAGGGCTGGCTGAGGACTTCCACATCAGCACTGTAGTTATCTTACATCATCTATCTGGCCTCCTGGCCTGGGGGCAGCATTCTGGGGGTGCTGGGGAGGAGAATGTGAGGTAGATTGGTGGATGCATAGGAGGAAGGGGGAGCAGTGCCAGCTCTTCTGGAGGCTTGCTTCCAGAGGGGATGGTTGAAGAGGGTTGGGGGGTTTGTTATTGAAGATGATTCAGTGTCTGTGGTATTTGAATGAAACACACGTAAAATGAATTGACTACACTTTAGCCCCTTGTAGAAAAATATATCCAGAATGAATCTGTTTCACATCTCAGTTCTGAAATCTCCTTTAGTTCACAGGTTATTGGTCAACAGAAAATGAGAAGTTGTAGACTCAGCAGTTCCCATGCTCCAAGGCAGCAGGCCTTTCTTGGTTTTTCAGGTTTGCAACTCCTCTTCCCGAGCATCTTCCTAGAGCTGGGAGCCCTTTCCTGCACAGAGGAGGAGGTGGATGAGGAGGTGACTGGAGGGACTGAGCTCTGTCTCTGGTGGTGCTATCTCTAGGTCAAAGGACCCAGGGCTTGGCATTAGTTGGTCCCAGTGAACACTTCCCAGGGCTCTTCCAGCTTCTCCAAGGGTTCAGGGAAGGTAGCAGGACACTGTGTGGCTTAGGGACTGAAGAAATCAGCCTAGGCCAGTCCCAGGCTGAGTTGGTTGGGTCAGTGCTGTGGAGGCTGGGACAATGGCCTTGGCCATTGTGGGAGTGACCACTCTCAGGTCCACTTGTGTAGGAGGTTCACATGCTTGACCAGAAGCTAAAAGTCTCTCTTTCTGCCATCCGTTCAGGGGTGGCTGGGTGGGCTTGTGGATCCAGGACCTTCACACTGGTTCTCCCCACTTTGGAAGAAGGAGAATGAGGGCCTCCATGCAAAGTCTTAATGTCACCACAGGTATAGATTTATTTGAGGTTTCTTTTTTCTCTGGAAAAAAAGATCTGTTGAATTTTTATGAAATCAGTTGTATTTAAAAATTATTGATGGAGATTATGCAAGTAGCTTTCCTCATGATGCTCTTGGTAAGTCAATTCTCCTTTATTAATGCAAACTATTAGTTATTAATCTGTGTTCCTCAGAATGACCATCTGTTGAGCTTTCTATAAGAGGCCCACCTGTTGTGATGCCATCTTCAGCCAGTGGGTTTCAAACTGTGCTCATGAGCCTTTTGTGGGCAGTGGGTTAGAAGGTCAGGCTGGATTTGGCCTTCTGTTCCTATTTCCCACCCAAGCAGATCTACTGGTTTCACTGCTACAAAAACATTTGTCCCTTCTGCTTTTGTGACTTTGTTTTCCGGGCTGGGCTCCTGACACTCTGGACTAGGTCTTAGGCCTGTGACTTTCTGCTCTGATTCAATTGTGTCCTAGATGCAAACTCTGAGACCTATATTGGTAGTCTCCAGTAACCACTGTGAGGACAGTGAAAAAGGCAGGTGTCTCTCCAGGTACATTTAGATGGAAGAACAATAGCAAAGGTGTGGATGGTATGCAAGTCAACTCTGGCACTCCAATTTAATAGGCCAGTTTGGATGGGATTGGTCTTCTTAGGGATCCTGTGATCCATCGGGGTGGGTGCTCTGGCCTGGTAGTTGAGAGAACTCTTTCACCTTGAGGCTCAGAGACTCTTCTTCTGCCAGGGACTTACATAATTTTTTTTACCAAAGGGAGGTGTTAATGAACATTGGAGAACTTTAGTGATAAACATGGGAGTTTGAGAATATAGGTATTAAGGTATTGAGGCAGAAAAACAAGAGAAGATGTGTTGCCATCTGTTCCAGTTACTATGAAGCTGAACATTAGGGTTTTGTGGTAAGAATCCTCAACTGCTTGTCTTATCTTTAAAAAATCTGAAACATGAAGGTACATGTACAGCACTTCTGGGACTGAAGGGAACAGGCTTTTGGTGCACCAAGAGACAGATGAGAAGAGTGGCTGGTATGAGGATGTGGGGGACTGTGTGTGTGGTGGGGGGTGGGGTTGGGCAGTCAGGAGGAATGAAAGAAGCTGGATGCATTGAGAATGGTGCAAAGTCCATGTTTTCAAAGTCATGGCCGTGTTTGCAGGTAAAGGTGGCTAAGTTAGCTGAAGTGCTGGAATGGACCACCTCTCCCAACTTTAGGGGCTTGCAAGATGACCACTCGTGTCAGGAAGCAGATAAATTTGGGGCCACTGTCATGACAGTGAGGGACGGGGGTGTTCTGAGAAGCTCGGGTAGCCTTTTTCTTACTGAGAGGCTCTGACATAGGCAGTCCTCACAGGGTTGGCTGGGTTATAACTTTTCTGCCTGCCTGAGAGCCCACCACAGACTGAGAAAAATAAGAATGATGCAGCAATGCCAGCCACATCCCCCTGCAGATTCTGAGATTCAGAGTGTGTGTAGATTGGGAGCACGTGTACAAAACCACTAAAAAGTGCTCTCCATGCAGTGCAGATGCAGAGCACTGGGGACCCAGCACTGATCGCCTAGGTAGAAATATTGCCTCAGTAACCCAGATGGTCAGCACTTGTGGCTTCAGTTTCTCCATTGAGTCTGAGGCCACCTATACATTGCCAGGCAAGCCTGGTCTGTGCTGAATCTGGAGCACTGGGCCTGGCTAGTGAAGTGGTCAAAAACAGGCACATGGGGCTTGTCCAGACCTCCTGAGGTCCCAACACACGACTGAGTCGGTAGCAACATGGTGGCCTGCTCTGCATTTGGGCAACAGGGGTGGCAATGGCATAGAGGGCCATTATTCTTGGATGACTGCTATTCTTTTTGGCTATGTAATGTGAGGTTTTGACCCCCAGAAACTTGGCCTAAGGCAGGGAAGGATATATCTGGACCTCAGAGAGCATTGTTCTGCTTACTAGCATCTGCAATTATAAAAAAATTAGTTTTTAATTAAAAATTTCCAAACTAAAGTGAGTGATTTTCCCACCCCACAAGGTGTAATAGGTTTTCTCGGCTCTCCCTCAGCCTAACACCAAGTCAGATGGAAAGGAAAGCAAGCAGCAGCTGCGAAGGACCAAGTGAGTTCCCAAGCAAGGGCAGATGGGCTGATGCATTGGGAGAAAGAGCCCCTGCAAAGCCCTGTTTCCAGGCCACTCCTTAATGGCACAGTCCAACTGGGGCTGGCAGGACAGGACAATGACTAGGTGAAGGCAACTGACAGAAGTGTTAGCCTGGAAAGAAGGATCTCTTGGTCCCATGGCATCCCCAGACGACGTGGTGTGCAGCCAGGCACAGAAATGATTCCTTTACACAGCAGCATGTGTTCTTGTCATAGCTCAAGGCATAAATCATACTTCCTAATGAAAAACCCCAATCTTGTTAGCAGTGCATACCTTATACTAGGAAACTTGCAAGGAGACCAGTGTTGAACCACAAAGCCAATACAGGGTTTTGCTTTTGTCTGTGAAAATGGACAGCGTGCCTGCTTGGGGCTGCAGTGTTAGGACGACGTGGTGCTCTTGAGCCCAGGGCTCTGTGCTGGGCTCCCTCACACCTCACTCACCCACACCACCGTGGCTCCCCCCTTTATGCCTGACACCTCACACCGCAGTGTATTTTGTCTCCCGTTGATTAAGAATAGTGACTCTTGGGATGGCATGAGGAGATACTGTCCAAATAACCCACTGTCCCTCAGAACTCTGTGGGGTCCCCCCCAGGGTTGGTCTAGCCCTATGGGTGGCTCCTTTAAGTTCTTCAGCATGCCCATCTTCCCTGTGGACAGCTCCAGGAACAGTAGGTCAGGCTCAGTCTCCAGAGCAGCATAGATGTCATACTGATTGCCTTTGGTGAAGGAGTGCTGGAATGTCACATCTGAGATACCCAGGTTTATTTTCAGGTCATACAGGGTCCGGATCTCCCCTTGCATCGTGACCTCCTGCACGTGCAACCGGGGGCTGTTGGCAGCAGCACTGACAATGAAGCGCCCATCAGGAGAGACGTGGGGGGTGCCTGTGACGTCACTGTTAGGGCCCAGCACAGAGTCAGTGACGCTGTCGATGATCAGCTGTGGGGTGGTGGAAGTGGGGAGCTCCTGTCGGCATTGGATGAAGAAGTAGCCGCCCAGGTGGGTGTGGGCCATGGCTTGGGGCACACAGCCATGGTGCTGCAGGCTGATGGTCTTGAGAAGAATCAGTGTCTCCAAGTCCACTTTGTGGACTGCAGGGTCAGATTGGTTGAAGATGAAGCCAAACCTGGGAAAGGAGGAACTGGGGTCAGAGAAGCAGATGCTGCCTCGAGAGGTAGAGGATCTGACATTCATCTGAAATGATTGCATCCTTACCCTTCTCCCTGTATCACAATCCTTCAGCGACCTAAGAGCCTACTAATAAGATCTGCCATTCTGCAGGAGATGGCTCCATAAGTAAGTTATCTATGCTCTCCAGTGAAATGCAGCTGAGTTATGAATGTTGCTGGACTTATGCTCTTGTAACAATCTTCAGAAATGGTTTTTCAAGGAGGGTGAAAGGCCTTCAACACCTTCTCCCTTGGGAATGCCTTTGAATCTACTTCCCTAGCCTGTGCCAGCTGGGATGGGGGCCTGTGTCTGTCTGCGGGTTGAGTGTGGACAAAAAGGATTAGAGATGCCTGGCCTGTCTACTAGGAGGACAAGATAAGAGGTTCTGTATCTCAGCTGGTTTTTGGACTAACTGGCAAGCAAGAATTTGAGGGTAAAGATGTAGTTCACCAAGGACAGATTTTCTATCAGTATCTCCTACCCTGGCAGCAGAATGTGGGGGTTGGTCTCTTCGCTGATATTGGTGATGCAGGCTGGAGTAACCTTGAGTAGTGGGACTAATGATGGATTTTATCTCAGGTGCCAAATGGCCTGATTCTGCCAAAGTGCTCTGCTGGCTGCAGAGCCTGATGCAAGCTGCTTGCCTCTCCGAGCCTTGTTGCAACTCAAAACAGCAGTTCTTTCTGAGGGCTGTTGGGAAGAGTCAATCTGAGAGGGACCTTATGTGGAGCACTCAATCATGTCTTCTTGGGGGGGTTGATTGCAAGTACGTAAAGATCTGACTCCAGGCTGGGCTCTCCTTGACCTGGAGAGCTCATACCTAAGTCTCCTGTGCACAAAGACCTTTGGGTTCTGACCCACCAAAATGAGTAAGAAAATCTCTCCCATTTTTTTTTTCTTGAAAAATTTTATATGCAAGTGTGAGAAATACTCCCTCTCTCTAGGCACATCTTTAAAGAATCCTTAAATCCTTAAAGAACCCAAGCATGGAGAGTGAGAAAGAAAACCCTGCACTTAGAAGAAATTTTAGCATCGCAGCCAGGAGTTGCTGCAGACCCTAAGTCTGTACCACTGCCTGTTGCATCCAGCTGCTTCGTGGGAGTCTCATGCATGAATGCATGCTGCAAGGGGATTCCTAGGTGGCTATTTTCCTTCTAGGATAGGAGTAGGTAAGTGAGTCCCTAGCATCAGCTTGCAAAAACAATCATTTCTTCCTGGAGAAAGGTGCCTGACCTCACGCTGCAGAAAGGCATAAACAGTGCTATGAGACCCCTGACGACTTGAGGACTTAAAAGGCGGCTTAGTCTTCTGGTAGGGTGAGCTCTGCAGAAAATGTTGGGGGCACACTGAAATGAATAAGGAAGGGGCATAAGCAGTGGATCATGGCTGTTATCATTAGGTGATTATTTTGGATGGTGGCCAGCCATGGTGATCAGGAGGTCTTGTCTCTGTGGGCATCCTGCATTAATTGTCTGGGGACTTCCTCAGAGGAACTAAGGGCTGGAATTAGCTGGGAAGGAGACAGAGCCGGACACCGACTCTGCCAATCTCTGGCTATGTGACCTTTGAGTCTCAGTTTCCTCACCTGTAAAACAGGGTCAAGACTACCTCTACTATATTATTTTTTCTTTCTTTTTTTTTTTGAAATGCTGGGGTTTGAACTCAGGGCCTTGCACTTGTAAGGCAGGCAATCTACCATCTGAGCCATGCCTTCAATCTCTACTGGATTTTTATAACTCAAAGTAGAGGATGCTCATTTAACCCCTTTTGTTTCCTTTTGTCCTTTGCTGTCCATCCTCCCCTGGAGGATGGCTCCTCACTGGACCCCTGAAGGCATTAAGAGCTTGGCACCCTCCTTAACCTAACAGAGTGGCTGACAGACTAGGCTCTGTGTCTGCTTTACCACAGATGGGTTCATTTCTCTGTCCCTTCCTGATGTCCACATCCAGTGCAGAAGGAATGGGGAGAAAGGAGCAAGTCCCATCCTAGGGAAGGTTGCCATGCAGGCCTGGGCTAAGCATGGAGTCCTTAGAGATGTCACAGGCTGGTCTCACCTGATGTGGTTGATGATGAGGTTTGTTGGGGGAATGAAGAAATCATCCACTCCTGCAAAGGGTGTTCGGATGAGGTGTTGGCTCTGGCCAGTACTGGCTTCTGTGATCACCTACAACACAGAATGGTGTCCTTGTGAGGATCCATCCAGGAAGGGGCATGGAAACCTAGAGAGAGACACCCACATGCTTAGGTGTAGACTGAGTAGGGAAACTGCTTGGGAAAGAGATGGTGGCTAAACCAGAGTCTCAGGAAAGGGGCGGGAGGGAAGTAGTTGTTCAAGAATGTCAGAGGCTGGCAAAGGGTAGTGGGGCAGGAGAGAAGGATCCAGCTACTCTCTCCTCCTTGCTTAGGCCTGCCAGTGCCAGAGCCACCATGATGGCACAGTGAGGACCTGAGGAATGGAGTTGGGGCTCCTGAGGGAGGTCCCCATAACTGAAACATGGCCCCGATTGTTCAGAGACAATCTCCTGAACAGGTAGTCCCATCGTCTCCATCTCTTGCCCTCCCAGATGAGGGAGAGAGTTTTTAATGAGAATGTTCACTGGTAGAATTGTTTACTGGGAATTTATTTTTCTTTGGTGCCAGATGTTTGGGTCAGTTCATTGTGATTCTGTTGTGGGGTGCTCACAGAGGAGTTTTCTCAGTGCTGCAGCTCCAGAATTTACTAGGAATACTTCAGGATGCCACTCAGAGATGCTGGCGTGCCATTTAAATGTCTTGCAATTAGAATGCTGGGGAGATGCGTAGTTCATAAAGGAACTTGCTGTGAAAAGTAAAATATTAGGTCCTTTGCCTGTATAAGTTGGTAGTGACAGAGCATGGCTTCCTGTTTTCCTGGTGGTGATGATTCCTGCTCTGTGGAGTTGGGAGGAAGCAACCAGATCCATTCCTTGGTGTGTGTCCCTGATGTGTCTCAGTCAAGAAAGGGCAACTAAGGCCACAGTGGGGAAGTGTGAGAGATAAGCAAAGTGAGAGTGGTTGGGAAGGGACCCCTGTGTAGCTCCTGTGGCCAGGGTGAGGCCTGAGCCAGGCATCCTGTGGTCCTCTGTCTTCTGCACATGCTCATCAGCCTTCTAGTTCTATACCACAGCCTAGAAAGAGACAGGCCCTCAGCCACAGGAGGGGCATGGTCAGTTCAAGCCTATACTCTGTGGTCAGGACAGGAGGCAGATCCTTAATTCCTGAAAAGGGAGAGAGACAGCTTCCTTCCCTCTCCCCCTCCCTCCCTCTCTGTGTCTTTCTCTTTTTCCTCTCTCCTTTCTTTCTTTCCTCCTTCTCTCCCCAACTTGTTTTTTGTTTTGAGATACTGTCTTCCTATGTAGCCCAGGGAGAGGCATTTTTCTTTTTGGTTTTTTTTTGAGACAGAATCTTGTTAGGTAGCTAAGGCTGGCCTAGAACCCACAATCCTCTGATCTGGGATTATGTACATAAACCACCACACCTGAGGATACATTTTTCTTGTTCATGTTATTATGGTTTGTGGCTGTGTTTGTAGAAGGAAAGATCGAGACTTCTGCAGTCAAACACTAGGCCTGCAGGGCAAGGGCGGCTCTGGTCGGTACTGCAGGCAGGCCTAAAGTTGGAATCAGCACACCTCCTCTGGGATTCAGCAGGCAGAATGCTAGAGTGGAGGAATGTACATTGTGATTTCCAGTCTTGGAGCAGTTCTGAAGCTGCATTGGGTTATTTTCCTGTTTAAGAAATGCCCAAACGATACACCCATGGCAACTCCATGGGAGAAAATGCCAGAGAATTCCAAGGTGGCACATGATCATTGCTTGATAGATACCAGGCCTGTCATTTTAGCGTATAATACAGATGGAAAATTACAGGCTGTCATCAATCAGTGTCATTCACACTTCACTTCTTTGACACCCTATGTTCATCAAAACACAGGACCATGGGCCACTGAACTGATACAGACATGTCAGCCTTGGTTCTCTGAGTCCTGAGATCCTTCTTGGCCTGGTTGTGTCCTAGCACATGGCTGGATCACAAATGCCCTAAAGATTAATTATTAAGCCCCTCAATTTGCTGACTATGTGGGCTTGGTTCAGATGTCACTTAGTCACAGGGAAGACTGGAAACAAGAAGTAACATCTTGAGGGACAGGGAAGCAAGGGATCCAGTGAGACAGGCTAAGAGGCAGCTCAAAGCTGGGCCTGCGTGAGAGTGTGGGCAGAATTCAGATGTCAGATGTTCAAACACTGTTGTTAGGGAGGCCTAGGACTGAGCTTCACTTACAGACACACCTCCATGGCAAATCCCCTAATGTGAATATGTAGAAACAATACTAGGGTTTCAAAGATATTTTGCAAACATAAGCAATGCAGGAGTATATATTTATTAGCTAAATCTTCGTCTACCGAACATGCCTATGATTATAGCGTTTGGATTCAGTCTGTGAAGTCAAGGTCATGCATCCAAAGTTACTCTCTTGAGGTTTTGGGTTCACATTTTTCAATGGCTCACCACAAAGGGTATGCCAGGTGACATTTCCAGGAATTTTGGAAAGTACTGATTTCCTTAACTCTGGTTCACAGTGACAATGGTAAGCTATTTCTTTTCTTCCTTTTTTTTTGCTGATAATACATTTCCTAGCCTGTCTGGTGTCACTAATGTCTAATTCTGCTTATTAATTAATGCTTTTAGTGTTTTGTCATTTAGGAAAAGATTTTGTATTGTTTATTGGGAAATAATTGTGTCTAAGAAATATCACTCTATTCATGTTTTAATTAAGAATGTCTACTATGTGTAATGAAACATACCTTCAACCTTTATTGAAAATATCCTAAATTTTTCTCTGAATATGCTATGAATAATATGATACTGACTGTGATCCTGAAAGTGGACCATCATTGCTTCCTTGGGATTTGTACCCGTCCAGCTCTTTAATGCATTGCTGGACTTTATTTCTGATATTAGGGCTAGGATTTTGCTTTGGTGGTCATAGGTGAGATGAGTCCATATGTTTTATAAATACTATTTTAATCAGGTTTTATAATTCTGATTATACAGGCTCTTTATATCCCCCATGATCTGGGATAGTTCAAATAATACTAAAGTTATATTTTGAAGCCTTGATAAACCTCAGTGGTACAATTTTCTGTGGTAGTTGTTCTATGTCAAGTTTCCTTTTTCTTAAGTCAGGTTTTCCCTTTTTCTTTTTTTAATGTTTTGTAAGCTATCATCCATTACTTTTAGGTTTCAAGATTTGTCACCACAGAGTTGCAAGGTATTTATTTTAAACTATTTTTTATCCTCTTTTGTCTGTAGCATTGTTTCCTTTCTCATTCCTCATTGTCTAGTTTTGTTCTTTTTTAGGATTGTGAAGAATTATTCTGCTTTTGTTTCCTATCAGTTTTAATCTAGAAATTCACTCTTAACACTGTTCTTTTTCTTTTCCTTAGCACAAAGACTTCTTTGCAGATATTCTTTGCATTCAGCTTTCTCTGTGTCCTCTAAGTTTTCATGTGAAATAATAGTCTTTTTCGTTGCTTTTCATCTAGTAGCTATCCAGGAGTGGTACCTAACTGGTTGTCTTTTATTTCTAATTATCAGATAACATAGCTATAACATATAACTTTACAAAATGTTTTAAGTTTTCCTTGGGTTAGTGATAAACTTTTGTATGGTGGATACAAAACAGATTAAAGGTTTTCCATATATTCATTAAACTTAGCTCCTTGTTTATGTTGATCAGTTTTTTTTTTGTTGTTGTTGTTACTGGGGATTGTTTCCAGGTGCTTTACCACTTGAGCCATGTCCTACCTCTCCATCAAGTTTCTTATGTCATTATTTTTTTCTCTTTGGTGTGTAGAATTTAAGTTCATAATAAGTCAAGTTATTATTCAATTTAATCACTCTTGTTTTATGTATTTGGTTGTTGTTGACACATCAGCTGTTCATCATCAAAGGAGCTTTAACCTCAAAGTCACTCATCTGATATCTACATTCCCTCTCACCATACATCTTTTTGCTCACCTCTGTCATCTCATTAAGCTCATCCTTTTGCTATCACTTTGCTTTATTGTATTTCTTATAAACAAGTGATTGCCAGTTGTTCTTTGTAAAGCCCAATCTGCTTCTCTCTGCTTTTAAGGGGAGAACTCACTTTGTCACATTTGGAGTAATTCACATTCTCAACATCTCATCTTATTCCAGGAAGGTAAAATTTTCTAGTATATTTACTTTACTAGTAAATTTTCCAGTATATTTACTACCTCTACTCACTATTCTTTTAACCAAAACAACTTCTCAGGCTATAGCTACAGACTGATATCAGAATGTCTCTTGTGGTTTGTCTCTTCCTAGGCCTCTTGTAAATCGTCCTCTTTCTCCATCTTAATGTCTCTGTTCTGTGTCCTCTGATGTTTTTCTAGTGTCTTCCCTCAGATGGGGTCCACAAGCAGCACTCGGGGATGGATCATTTCTCATCACTTAGATTGGAACTTTCAATCTATGTGATTAATTTTCTCAAATTCAGAAATTTTATTCCAAATTTATTTGTTTGATTCCATCCCAACTGTGACCTTTTCCCTATAAATATCTAGGGTTTCCACTTCACATCTCTACCTTTCATGTTTTCTTTGTGAGTCTCTTATCTACTACAATTTTTGTTTTTAGGTCGAAAACCCCTTTTTCTGGTGGTCCCTCCCCTTGAATTTCCTTAGGCACTTGTTTCATTGGTGCTTCTGGTAGCTCTGGTCTTACACTCTGCTCTTAGCAATCTTTATTCTGGCTCCTAGGTCCTCTGGTGGGTTGTTATGACTGGTTGGTCCCTTGTATGACAGTACTCTCAGTTTACAGGGAGCAAAGTGGTGTCTTCCCCTGATCCAGTAATAGCTGGGCAGGTGATAAGTCCCTGGTCCTCCTGGATTCTCACAGGTCCTGGGAGCAGGCAGAATCATCTCTGTCTCAGCTCTTCTCAGTTGGGTTTCTGAGAGGGTATTAAAACCCCAGTGCCCACATCATCTACTATGTGTAATGAATTGACTCCTCTCCTGTACATCCAGAATGTGTCTTTAGGAGAATTGAGAAGTCAGACATTCAAATCACTTTTTAGCACATACTAGATCCCTGATGAGAAAGGCTGGGCCTGGTATACTCAACGTGGGATTGTGTCAACCTTCCCTGGCTGGTAGGAGGAGGAATCCTATGGATCCTATGTAAGCAGTAGTTGCAGTGCTAGGGCTGACTGAAAGAGCTACAGAGGCCACTGTCTTTGTGGACCACAGGTAAATCATTTAACTTTTCTGTGTCCTCACACACTGTGAGCACTTAATAGATGTGCTTTTGTTTAGAGATATAATTTGCTATGACTGGCTAGTGCAATGGTTTGAATAGACTTTGGCCCCACCAACACTCATGTTGAGGCTGGTCCCCAATGTAATGGAGGTGAGAGGTGATAGCACCTTTATGAAGTAGTTACCTTCCTGAAGGGATTAATGTAGTTCCCCTGACAGTGTTAGTTATCACAAGAAGGGGTTGCTATAACGGGAGCCTGGCACCTCTCTTCACTCTCTGGGACATAGGCTCTTTCTGCATCCTCCTGCTTCTCTTCTGCCCATGTCCTGCCCTGACCAGATATAGGTGCCTATTCTTGGATAGAAACATGAGCCAAAATAAAACTCTTTCCTTTGTAAGTTACTCAGCTTCAGGTGTTTTGTTATAGCAAAAGAAAAGGATCAAGACAGCCAGCACGTTCAACTTGCTCTGACATTATTCTCCAGCTGGCCCAGACCAGTGTGAAGAGAGCTGTGCCTCCATTCTCATTGCCTGGACCCACGGATCAGTTACTGGCTCAAGAGAGGCAGGAATGTGGGACAGAGTAGGAACTGCATTAAAGGACTGAAGTCCATCAGGCCTGGCCGAAGATACCCTGTTAATTACCTGCAAGGGGCACTGGTCCAAGGCTGTTTCCTGCTTTCTCTAAGAGGCTTTATGGAAATGGAAATCATTTATTCTAAAGGGAGCGCATCCTTCTCTAGGGTGGGTGTCAGTCTCCATGTGCTCAACATACCTGGAGGCTTGGATGGGACTTGTGCTCATCCCCCCAACTCAGGACCCACACTTGGTCATGTGATTTGTCATAGGACAGCTTAGCTGGTAGAGGATCCACACCTATGGACTTGAAAAATACAATAGTGACAAGTTGGTTATCATTGTGGTAGAGGTGGATGTGATGGTCATTTCTGGGCTTTAGTACACAGACGTCACGCCCAGGAAAATGGAAAGCCAGCCTGAAGCATTGCCAACAATCTTGTTTGGGAACTCAGAGCAGAAGCCTCTCCCCTTAGGCCTTGTCTGCAGAGTTACAAAATTAGCTGTCAGTAATGTTTTCTCTTTTTAAGAACTTACTTCTTCGCACATCGAGCTAGATCAACAATGTTTTCCCCTGAGGAACCAGCTCCAGGACACTCTCTTTACTCCTCCTAGGAACCTTGTGGGCCTTTTGGACCCTCAGCAAACTTCCCCAGCTGCTCTGAGGCCTGGGTTCTGGTGAGCTGGTCTTTCCCACTGGGTTATCACTAGTAGACTCTGAGATCATTATCATCCTTCCTGTGCCATTGTTCCACTGAGCGTCTTTCTCACATCCTTCAACTGACGCCTCTGCGACTATGCCATCAGGCAGACACGCACACTCGTTTTAACTGCAGTGTCTGCAGCTCTGCTATCTATTGAGAAGATAGCTACTCCCACATGAAGGTATTATTATAATGGAGTTTTATAAGTGCAAAAGCTTTACTCTGTGGTATCTGTGCTGTGAGAATAGAATCCTCAGGTTTTCTTGTCATTGGCCAATATCATAACCACTCCCTCTGACTCAGAGTTCACTGTCATCTTTCCTACCACTCCACTTACCTGGAATGATTCCTTCTTGGTTTCAGTGGCTTCTTCTCCACCTCACCTCAGCCACCACAACTTGAAACATCTGTTGAGTTCCTGTATCTACTTCTCCTTAACTCATTTCTACCAGGTTTTCATCTTTATCACCCTAGACCTTCATGCCAAGTTCACAGATCACTTTCTGACCCGCCTCTTACCATTTCAGCAAGATTTCACATGGTCAACCATTCCCTTGTAGAAACACTTTCTTCACTTATTTCTCGTCTACATCTTTTCTTTGGTACTGGCTTCTAATAAAACAACCCTCTACAGTCACCTGCTAATAACCTCAAGCTAACATATACAGAACTAAATCCGATTTTGCCCATTCCTGCTGAGATGTTTCTTTCTTCCTCACCACCATCTTTGAAGTCTCCCTTTATCTTCTCACTCTAATTAAAAACTCCTGTCCTCTGAACTCCCAAGGACAGGATGTTTTTATTTTCCTAAGCTTCACATACCCCAGAACCCTTGAGTCCCTGATTGTTCCTACCACCTGCCAGCTTCCTGGCTCTTCAATAACCAAAGGCCTTGGAACCTAACAGTGCCTTCCTCTATCTGGAGCTTCCTAACCCATGCCATCTGAACAGTCTTTAGTTTCTTTCCTCCAGCTTCCCATTTGCCCGTCCTTTTCACAACAAAATTTCTACAAATATTTAGGCAGTAGCCATTGTCGTTCAGATTTCTTTCTCTTAAAAAGAGGCTGAAGAGCTAAATAAAAAATCTCTTAAATTCAGAACAGAATTTTCCTGTTCCAATGTGTTGAGGAGTGACGATTTGGGAGAGAAAAGGTCCTGGTGAAAATACCAGGCTCTCAGTTAAAAGCCTCAGGATTAGGGGAGAATGAGAGGCAGACTCAGCCTTCCAGAGACCTTACAATGATTAGTTCTCTACTCTTTCTGCCTAACAGAGGAGAGAGTAAACCCTTTCTGCTGGGTGACATCCATTTAAAGTCTACAAATTTTTTTTATAGAGAATGTTTAGACACAAAGAAATTACTGGGCATTCCAAGAGACAGATGATATGACTTAAAACATTCAAAAGTCAATGGGAACAGACTCACAGGGTATTCACAAAGAAAATAATCTCTGTATATAAACAGGGAGTTAAAGTATAAATTTTAGAAGCAAAAAATGAAATGCCTGAAATAAGGACTCATTTTGCTAAGCTCATATTAGACACAGCTAAGAGAGATTAGCAAACCAAAAGACATGTTGCTAGAACATATCCAAATTGAAGAAGCAGACATGTAGGACACAATGGCAAGACGTAACTTGTTTGTTGTTTTGTTTTAAACAGAGATCCTGAGGTAGAGGTGAGAATGAGGCAGTAGGATATTTGAAGTAATAATTGCAGATAATTGACCCATCTGATGAGATCTATCCATACCTTCAAGAACCTCTGGAAACCCCAATGAGAATAAATACAAAGAATACCTAAAGTGCTACAGACTAGAGACAAAAGAAGACATATTACCTTCAAAAGAGCATCAATAAGACTGATGGTTGGTGTCTTAAAGTGCTGATAATTACCAATCTATCCTTCAGAAATATATTTGCTAACAAATAAAAACTGTCAGAGTCTGTTAAAGAAGTATTTTTTTAAATGACCCCATTTTAGCACATGGGAAGCAGGAAGATTGTGAGTTTGAGGCCAGCCTGGGATACATACCAAGAGCCAAGACTCTAGCAAAAACAAACAAAAACCTTTATGTAACTATGAACTTCAGGTATAATAAATATATGGGTAAATATAAATTATTGCCTGGTCAGATGGTTACAGTAATCATCTTCTAGGTTAAATTCTATACAGTTAAAACTCACTGCCATAAAAATGCAAAATGCAGGCAGAAGGTTAAAGGACTTAAATTGTTCTAGCATTTGGCATTGTTGAGGACATGAACAATTTATATACAACTATATTGATACAAGGATGCGTGCTATTGTCTCTGTGGTGTTAATAACATAAGAGTATATCTTTGAATATACTCTTTGAATATTCTCTTATATAGAGAAAAGCAGAATAAAAGTGTTTGACAAAGCCAAAAGGAGAAAACAACACAAACAGGTTAATTAAAATTAAGATAGTAAATATAAATCAACCATATAATTAATTGCATTAACTATAAATGGATCAAATACTGCAAGTAAAAGGATAGAAAAATAACATGAGAACACTAATCAAAATATTTGATTTAGCTGTACTAGGATTAAGCAAAAAGAGACTTTCAGGCAAGCAGCATTACCAGAGATTAGAAAAAAAATATTCTTTTTTTTTCTGAAAGAAGAAGTCTTTCTGTCAGGAAGACAGTACAAGGCAAAAATGTGTAAAACCTTTTGAGACATAGATATATCCACAGTTATTATGGAAGATTTGAACACTCCTCTTAGCACTAATGGACTAAGCAGCCAAAAAAAAAAAGTCACTAAGAACAAGAGACCTAAATATAGTGAATCAACTTGATGTAACTGACTTATACAAAGTGCCATGCCTAGCAATATCAGCACATTCTCTTAAAGTGCCCAAGGAACATTTACCAAAATTGATCATAAGCTCAGTTTTAATCTTTAATAAACTTCAAGGCATTAAAATTGCTCAGTGCAATTCTCTAGCCAGGGAATTATAAAAAGGTTGTATTCGCTAAGAGAAAGCACAACCCTGTTTCTATCCAGCTTTCCTCATACAGTGAGCCCACACCAGGGCAGCTGAGCACTGCTGGGAAGAGTCCCACTCTAAATTTACACCTGCAGTTCTTCAGTAGGCCTTCGATCACATGTGTTGTCCAGCAATTACCTGTGTCTGGCTGATTCAATATCTTGTTCAGTGAAATTTCACCTTTCTTCAAATCCCTGGCCCTGGTGATAATTTTCGTTCTTATTTCACAGAAAATAAAAGTAAGCAGAAGAAAGTCCATCTAACTACCAACCCCTGTATCACCCATTTGTACCTGTGCCTGAATTCTTTCCATTTCCTCCTATTCTAAGGAAAGACTGTTGTTTTAGCTAAGGCTGGCATCCCCACTTGTGTGCTTTGGATGCTATTGACCTTTGATGGTGCAGGGAAAAGGAGAACTGGGAAAGCAGGTATTTCCATTAGCATATAAATTCTGTGATGTCACCTACTCTATAAAAACTTTGTGTGGCATCCCCTTCCAGCTACTACCTCATTGCTTTTCTTTTACATTAAGACCCCTCCATATTCTCCCAGCCTAGTTCATCCCATGTCATTCTAACTTGCATCCACTCCAGCAGGATGGTGTTCATGCTTTCATCCTATCTGTTCCTGCTAAGGTGATCCACACCCTTCTGGTAAGAAGTCCAGTAGCCAATTCTCAGACTTTATAACATGCCAACACTCAGCAGCATTTGCCATGAGTGACCACCAACACTCCTATGAACACTCTGCTCTTGGCTGCTGAAATACCATCCTCTCCTGATTTTACTCCTGTTTTCCTGGCAGTCCTTCTTGAACTCCTTTTTTCTTCTCCACGTTTCTTGATTTTTAAACATGGGAGTGCTTCAGGCCTCCAACCTTGATCTCCTCTCTAGTTGTACTCCCCTTGGTGATTTAACCTAGTTCTCTGGATTCAATCTGTCTGTAGGCTGAGGATACCCAAATTGGTGTCTCCAGCCTGGACCACTCCTCGATTCTAGCCCTTTCTTCGAATGCTCACTTGTCTCTACTTAAATATCTGATGCTGCTCGAAACTTATTTGTTCCTCGGTCTGCCCTTTGATTTCCCCTGTCCTTTGCCCAAAGTCTCTTCTGTCATAGTGTATTAGTTTCATATTGCTACAACAACAAATTACCACCAATTTGGTGGTTTTAAACAACATAGATCTCTTTGTCTTGTAGTCTGGAGACCAGAAGCCATAATTGATTTCACTGGATAAAACCAGTGTGTTAGTAGGGACATGCTCCTTCTTAGAAGCATGAAGGGAGGATATGTTTGTTTGCAATTTCTAGCCTCTACAGCTACACCCCTTGGCTCATGACCCCTTTGTCCAATCTACAAGGCTGGCAATGTAGCATCTTGCTTTAGTGTCTCTCTGCCTCCCTCTTACAAGGATACTTGTGACTGTATTTAAGGCTGCCCAGATAATCCAGGATAATCCCCTAACTTGAAAACCCTTAATCATATCTACAAAGGTCCTTTTGCTATAGAAGGTGACATTCACACGTTGGTACATGAACATCGTAAGGACCATTATTAAGCATGCCACACACTGTAAATGGTATCACCATTCTGTGCTGAAGTTAATAAGCAAATGAAAACCTTGATTCCTTTTTCTCTGAAAGCTTGCATTCAACCCATCAGAAGCCTTTTAGGCCCCGTGTTTGAAATACAGCAAGAAACCTTGTCGTTTCTCAGCTGATGACCTCTACTGCTGTCATCATCTCTTGCCTGGATTAAGTCCCTCCACATCCCACCTCTAGCCTCCTGGCTGTTAACACAGCAGCCGTATTGACACGCTAAAGTCAGATTATGTCACTTCTCTAATCACAACCTGTCAGTGCCTTTCTATCTCACCTTCGATTTTATTCTAGGACCTAACTGGCCTCCAAGGCTCTCTTTGTTTATCCTTTACCTCACTGCATCCCACTGTTCCCCCTCATCACTATACACTGCTCCCATGGTCTGCATCCAATGTGGTGTTAAGATCTCAGCTTCTATTCCCCTCCAGAGCAAAGATCAATTTTAAATAGTCCTACAGTTCCTCTGGCTCACTACACTAGAATTTCCCAGCCCTATTTCTTACAGCTCCCTGAAATTCTGATTTATGGTCTGTCTCCCTGACTAGAATCTAAATTCTGGGGATATCAGTGCCTATCCATGGCTGTTTCTTGAGCTCCTACAACAGTGCTTAGCACACAGCAGATGATAAACAATGAATAGCTGCATATGAATATTCCCTCTAGGCTGACCATTTCTCATAGTTTCTGGGGAGTGTACAGAAAGCAAAAGGGAATGCAACAAGCTGCAACCCAGAATTCACAGTCTTTTTCACTCCTTTCAAGAGTTGTACCTGGAGGACTTTCTGGGCTTGAACATCAACCACAAGGACTCTGCTCAGTGCTGGCTGGGCCACATAGATATACTGGTTCCTGATGTTGACTGCAGATGCCCACTGGCATGTCTGGATGGCATCTCCTTCCCCTCGAGGGCAGATTTCTTCCTGTAAGGAGACAGGTTGCCATGTGTCCTCTTCCTCCCTTCCTCCTAACCCTCCTTGCTCCCCTTCTTCCCAGTCTTGGGATCTATGGGTTCATTCAACATGGCGCACAAACCCCACCACCAATTTCTCACTTCATGTCCCTTCTACCCCTCTGCACAGGCTGTAATCCCTTTGTGTCCTCTCAGTCAGCAACTTCCAGGTTATCTTCTTCCACTCTTGGGTACCACTTTCCTCATCCCTGTCACTGGCAGCTTCTGTTAATGGATGAACTTACAAAAGAGTTACCCACACTCTTTCTTCACTTGCTCACATGGTCCTTAAATAGTCCTCACCACAAAGCTGACACCAGCTTGACTTCTTAACTGTTAAATTTAACCAAGGCATCATTTTATTTGAACTTGAGGGTGTTGACTATTCTTGGTTTCCCTTCCCTCCATCCATTCCCAGTGGCTGATCCTCCTCTGTTGCTGGATTCTGCTCAGCTTGCTGATCTGTGTTGCTGTGCCAGGGTTCATTTCTGGATTTTGTTTCTTCTCTAAAATCTGCTCCCTTCTGGATCTCATAGAAACCTTTGGCTTTAGGTACAGTCTACACACTTCCAACTCCCAGATTCAGATCTTTAGCAGAGGCCTCTCCCCTGAACTTCAACTTACACAGCCAACTGTGCTTCCTCCTGGATCAAGTAGATATCGTACTCAAAAGAGAGGTGGAGGAAGATCCCGAGGCACTATGCACTCAGCCCTCCTAGAAGGGCTGCCCCATGGTAACCCTTCCAGTGAGATGTTTGAACATTTTTTAAATGCAAAAACTAATATTTGGGACTCTCCCACAGCTTGCTGTGGTCTTGTGTTGCAAGAAATAGCTTTGGGACCTCTCTCATGGTCTTGAGTTCTGGTTAGGATTTAGGAAATTTCCCCACCTTACTGGTTAGGTTATTGCAAATATATGAGAAATTAGTACTCACGTGGCAGAATGCAATTATTCAAACCTAATTGTTAGAAATTAGCCAGGACCACTCCTTCTAGCTGGTTTCATGGTTATTATGTGGAAGAGAATTCATTGGTAGTAACACTTCTAAAGAATAATTAGTCCTGGAAAACATCTGCTTCTAAGCTACACATGTAAAAAGCCCAACAACCTGAGCTCTGCCACCAGCTAGAACAGCAATGTGACAAACTGCTGTAGGAACTTGTCTGAGCCAAGCCTACTTCTTCCACAAACTCCAAGCCCATCACATCTATCAGTTCATTCATTGTGCATAGACTGAGGCCATGCTAGGTGTGTCCTCAAGGGGATGGCACATGGGGGACTTTAGATGGCCCTTTTGGATTTGGCACTACCATCTTGTTCTTCAGGAGCTTACAGTATCCCATGAGGCCCAGCAGAAAAGAGATCAGATATGGAAGGCACAGCTGGAGGCCTGGCAGCTGGGTCTTGGGAGCAGGAAGGGCTTCCTTGGATCTGCCAGCAGCAACCATCTCTTCTGCCTCTGCCCATTCCATGTCACCTTCTACCTGGCTTCAGGTTTTGTTCATAGCACTTCTGCCACTCTGGATGTTCACCCCAGACTCCCCCATAGTTCCCTCATGGCCACTGGCAGCTGTCTGTTCCCAGTGCTGTCTCCACCGGTTGACTATACATCTGGAGGCCAGGAACCCAGGTGTACCCTGGGCCTCACCTGGGGCTGAGGGAATGAAAGTGGATGCTGGAGGGAGGAGGAAGAGTTAGAACTCTCAGCCTCACATGTTTCTCCCCAGCCTCATCACAGTTGGAACGGTACCACTCACTTATAGCAAATAGAGCTGCAGAGACCTGATGGCCCATCTGGTTACAGACTGATTTCTAGGACTTTGTGTGATCTACAAGCCACCGCAAGCACAGAAACTCACATAGCTCATGAAAATCTTCTCCGTGGGTCTGAGGTGCCTCTGGATCTCACAGTCCGCAGGGTGGATGACAGCAATGCCATCATCAGAGAAGACGTAGAACATGTTTCCCACACTGAGGCCTGGAAGGGGCAAGCAAAGCATGGTCATACCCCTCTAGCTGCCGGCCCCCTGGCAGGATCACAGGCAACATGGGGCACACAAGACACAGTAGTTTGGCACAACTGATGCAGGCACAAAATGCAATTCCTGAGAGGGGTGGTGGTGAGAAGACAGCTTGTAACACCCTGCTTGATGTTGGTTGGGGGGTGTGAGAGAAAGTACCCAAGAACTGAGAATAAAACCCACCACCAGCTCTGCAGTACCCAGGCTGTCTCCCAAATGTGCACAGCTGCCCTGTGTCACCAACATGTTTTCAAATAAAAGATGGCCTTGGCTTTGACATTCAGTTGGCCTTTTTTTTTCTGAAAGGAAGCCTACCTTGGTTAGTCATATGGGCTACTTAAAGCAGGATGGATTCAATGGTACAAAAAAAGTAAAGGTGCTTATTTTTAATTTGGGGGGCACGTTGACACCGTATCACTCCCTGCAGTGTGGGGCCCAAGGAGGCTGTGGCTCATATACTTTTGCTCACCCTTGGTCCTGGCCTAACTATTCCTTTCACACACCTTGTTCCCACTTCTTCCCCACCAGTTTCTCTTCGGCAGCCTCGGCCAGGAATTGGAGCTCACATCCTGGCCATGTCCACCTGTTGCCCCTACCCTGACCCAGAGCTGTGGCCATCTGGGGAGTCGGGGGTGGTGGTGGGGACCAGCTAGGGTAGCCTCCTTATTTTAAAGATAAAGACACTGAGATCAAAGGAGGGGAACAGCTGGGGTTAGACCCTGAGGTCTGCCTCTAGCCCTGTCTCTTCACTCTTCTCTCTCCACAAAGAGAAACATGGCACAAAGAGAAAAAGTCTAGAGTTCTCCCTAACTCTCTCTGTCCTTCTCCCTCCCTCCATTTCTTTGAAAGCTAAAACATCAATATTTTTATAAAATCTAGGAAAAATATATAGAAAATGCTATTTCCTAGCATTCTGAGACCCAGGCACTGATTCAATGGACTGTCTGGGGAAGTTTTCAGTGAGAAAACAAAACAGAGAAATGAGAATCACCAAATCCCTTCCTTCCTCACTCCACAGGTGGTCTTCCATGTCTCAGGCCCTTGACACCTGAGAGGTGCCAGTGTGACCTTGGTGTGGGCCCAGGGTCCCAGTGCTGTGATGCAACCTCAGCTGCCCCCAGCACCTGTACTAAGAGGGTATTTGGGCATGATGGTCTCTGCCGCTGTGCAGCTGGAACCCAGCCCTGCAAAGCCACCCATGCCACGGAGCACCCAGCATCACTCCCCATGGCCAACCTCGGGGCTTCCTCTGAGACGCAGATGGAGTTGGCGGTTTGCAAGTGTCTCATCTCAGCCCCACAGAATCTTGGCATCTGGAGGCACCATGCCAGCACACCTCTGCTCTGCCCCACCTGGTAAAACTGAGCCTAGGGGCCAGAGGGGTCTAAGTCTCCCTGAACCACAGACCCCAGCAGCAGCTTCCCTGATCTTGGAAAATCAATAGCTGGAAGAATCAACATAAGCTGGGACGCTTAATAGAGCCACGTGGGGTTTGTCGCTGTAGCTACATTTCTGGCTGAGCACAGTGCCTTGCTCATAGTCAGCACTGGACTGTGAGGCTCAACAGATACTCATTCAACATACAGTTGACTTCACAGGAGATCGGGCCCCAGGATCCAGCTCCGTGGAAGGTTTTGTTTAGGTTAGCTTCTACTAACGGGCCTAAAAGGAGGGTTTTCTTTTCAGAAGCTGTTGTCTGCTCTCATCTCCTTTTGCCTATTGAGATTCCAGCATGCCTGAGGTCTGTGGCCCCTTCCCCTTGGCTTCTGTATCTGCTACCTTTAAGCCTTGAGTTTTAGCAGGGAAGGACACAAGCATTTAGCTGCTTGGCAGGATGGAATTTGTTTGCACACCTGCCAGCCCTAAGGCGGCCCTGGGCCTTCAGTGGGCATTTGGTCACTACAGCTCATGCCACAACTCACAGGGCCTCTTGCAACCTTTGCAGGTCCCCAAGCCCCTCAGTGCAGCACATACCACCTCTTAAAGACACTGAGTACAAGCTGTGTATGCTCTGTGGCGAGGTGCTAGGTTCAGGCAGCTGTGAGAGTGTGAGGGGCTGTGGCCAGCCACTGCTGCAGTTGGCAGTGACTTCTCTCACTCTAGGCAGTGCCTCTGTCTTGCTCTCAGACTTACTGTGTCAACTTTAGTACCTGGCATTGAGGAAATTCAATGTGCACACAAATTTTAAACTGCAGACCATGCCATGTGGAGTTCTTCTGGGACCAGACAAGAAACAGCCTGGGATTTAAAGTTGGAGCTGGAAAATAAGTCACTATAGGCTGATCTGGCTCAGTCGTGGTGTAGAGATCACAAGATGGGAACTGGGACCCACATGGGTGTGTGCACTTCAAGCAGGAACTCAGGCTCTGTGACCCAACTCCCAGATGCCCAGATGTGTGTGCTTTTTTTTCTTTTTGCAGTACTGGGGCTTGAACTCAGGGCCTACACCTTGAGTCACTCCACCAGCCCTCTTTTGTGAAGGATTTTTTTTCAAGATAGGGTCTGTTTCCCCAGGCTGGCTTCAAACCACGATCCTCCTGATCTCTGCCCCCCGAGTAGCTAGGATTACAGGCATGAGCCACCCGCACCCAGCTGTGTGATAGCGTTGGGCCGTACGAAATTGTCAATATTAGACTATCTTGATGGCAATTTCATATGGCTCATAGTTTTGATAGATAAGAAACACATATACATTCATACATGTATACATACACATTATCTCTCTATATTTGTGGTACTGGGGTTTGAACTCAGGGTCTCATGCTTGCTAGACAGGTGCTCTAGCCACACCCCCAGCCCTTGCTCAGTTTTAGTTATTTTTCAGATAGGGTTTCACATTTTCATTTGGAGCTGGCCTCAGCCTATAATCCTCTTACCTGTGTGTCCCAATAGATGGGGTGGCAGGTGTGAGTTACCACACTTGACCTTATTTTTAAAAATCAACACACAAAAAATGTATATTTAGAGAAATTATGCTAGAATTTTTTCTTTAGCACTTACCCAGTCAAAGAATACTAAAGATTCCAGTGGGGACATTCAATTTTCTTTTTTTTGGGGGGGTGATCCTTTTATTATTTATTTATTTATTCATTTTGAACTACTCATGCTAAGTGTTTTCTGGCAGTTCTGAGAGTTGAACTCAGGGCCTCATGCTTGCTAGGCAGTCTGTCTACCACTTGAGCCATTCCCTAGCTCTTTCTTACTTTTATTATTTTTTTTTGCTGGAAATTGAACCCAGAACCTCTCAAATGCTAGGCAAGTGCTCTAACCTCTGAGATACTCCCTCAGCTTGTTGGTCTATTTTAAACAGCACAAGATAAAGCACTAAACCCAACACCAGTCAACTGCTGAAAAAAGCATAAGGCCCAGATCTGACCTGCAGCCCCTGCCAGGTACTCTGCTTCACTGAAGCTACAAGCAGCTTTCCATAGAAACGTCCCATTTTCAAATTTGCTGTTAAAGACACTAATAGGCTTTTAATTCCACTCCGGGTGTGCACCATGTGACTTTAACCTCCTCCTCCCCTCTGACTGGCATGCAGGCTCTGCCTATGGGACAGCTTGGTGTCTGCAAAGCTGTTGGCGGCTCATGGAAAGATGGCCCATCACAGACCCACAAATACGTGTGACCACAGACATGACACAGGACAATCAAGCTTGGTACCTTCCTCCCGCCACAAAATGTTTGCCACTGCAGCAGCCGAGAATTAGGAAAGCAGGGATGTGATTGAGGAAAAGAAAACAATGTCACACCTTCCACTGTAGTGATTCATTCCATCGAGGAACATTCTGGAGCCCACTCCATCACTTTCAGAACCTGCACCTCTCTCTAACCCGGTCACAGTAGCAGTCCAGCAACTCTGGACATGGGTGAACCCTTCCAGATCTCAGAACCTTTTCATTCCTAAATGAATTTTTGAACATAGGCCCCAGAATCACAGCAGCTAGTGGGATTCCCCATGATAAAGAGTGAGGAACTTTTCTTCCAGGAGAACTGATTTTCACTAGGATTCCCCTAGGAAGACCACGTGAAATACTTCTGCTTATCTCCCTTGGTGACAAAGCCTTCGCACAGAGTCTGACCCAGGGAAAGAGACTGTGACCAACACCCTTGCCCATGAATGCTCACCAGCAGGTTCACCTGGGAGAAAGTGACTATAAGGAGGAGCACACTTAGCATACCAGGTAGGTGACGATCCATGGAGTAAAGGCCACCATGGTGTGTATGTACAGTAGTGCCCACTTATCTTTGGGGGGCATATTCCAAGGTCCCCAGTGGATGCCTGAAACCACAGATATCACTGAACCCCATATATGCTATGTTTTTTCCCTATATATTTAATACCTAGGATAAAGTTAATTTATAAATTAGGCTCAGTAAGAGATTATCAATAACTAATAGTAAAATGGAATAATTATAATAATACCACAAAAATGTTATGTAAGACTTGTGAATTGTTCCTTTCTGGGATTTTTCATTTAATATTTTCAGTCCATGGGAAACAAAACTGTGGATGGGTGGGGAGAATCACTGTTTACAGTGGGCAAATTCTAGGCTATTGGGATGGTGACACTTGGTGGGTGGATGGTATGAAGGGTTTTGTGAACAAGGGACAGAGCTTCTGGTCATACAGCAAGGAGGAGACAAGACTGGGGCTGGGATATTGGGGCTTTCTTGTGGACCTGGGTTCTGTCTACACCACCAGGGAGGGTCTGGTCACCCTCTATGTCCAGAGGATACAGGCTGATCCCAGTCTTGAGGGTCTCTCGGCTGGCAGCTGTGGCCCTGGTCAGTCGGTGCTCTCCCTTGCCACCCGCCACGCCCAAGCAGTTCAGTGAGGAGCTTAGAGACAAGACTGGACTCACGGGTCTTCCTAGCTGAGTCCTCAATGAAGAGGGAGGAGATGTCCTCATCCACGCCCACCTCATTCTTGGCGATGCAGGTGTATGCCCTGTGTCTTCATACCGAACACTGCCGATGTGGAGTTCACTTCCATTGGCTGCAGAAAGGACAGTGTTCAGGGTGGCCTGCTCAGCCAAAATCCCTGTTTCCTTTCTGGGGCTACTGAGAGTGTTGGGGTTAAAAACATAGCTCTGGGGAGAAGGGACAGCCAACATCCCTGGCAATGTGCCCAGATGGCACAGCTAAAATTCAGAGGGTGCCATGGCACTTGACTGACAGCTTTGGTCACTGATCTCAGAAAGCCTGTCAGACCTATGTGTGTTCGGACGTCACAGATACTTGGGGAGATCTCTGTTCCTTCCTAACATTCCTTCCTAAGTTCCTAGCAGACTTAGAAATGAATCCTTCCTCTCGTTCCCATTCCTGAGGTGAGAATCAGCCTGGCCTGGATGGGAATATCCCACAGACAACGTGGGCATTCTTACCCAAAAGGGAAAGCTGTTTGGACCTCTGGGCTGAGACATCCATGCCATTTTTCAGCCAGGTGATTCTGGGCATGGGAATGCCCTCAGCGTGGCATCTCAGGCTGGCTGCCATCCCTGGCTCCTGCGCCTGGGTCTCCGGATAGACTCGGATGACTGGTGGCACTGTGGGTGAGAATCGGCACTGGTAAGAGGGGACCCTCACCTGGCCACAGGCCCACGGCCCAACCCTGAGACCCTGCTCCAGAGGGTGAACTCGAGATGAGTCTGGAGTTCTCTTCATCAGCTCACAATGATCGTCTGGGGCAACCCGAGCTCTGAAAGAAAGGGCTGTAAAATGGATTGCAAGCAGTAAACATGTCAGGCATTGTACAGCGTAATTCATGGCCTCCATCATTATTCTAAATATGATCAGAAAGACAGCCAAATACTTAATGCTGTTCAGCTGCTACACATAAAGAGCAACAGCCACTAGAATTTATTTCTGAATAAAATTCAGATGTGTTATTTCTGTTATCGGAAAACCATTGGACAGGGGCTTAATTTCTTGCAAGAAATGCTTCACAAAGCACTTATGGGCACTGGCTGGCAGGGATGCTAATTACAGCATTGCTCTGGGGAAGTCCTTTGATTTTCCAGTGAAAGGCCAGATGTGTCCTCCTTGGTTGTAGAGTGACTCAGCCATGGGGCCTGGCAGTCAGATTTGCGGCAAGGAATATGACCTGTCCCACTCACCAGAGGAGCAGGGGTGGGCAAGGCTCTGGTATCTTCCACAGTAACTGACCCTTCTTACGTGAGTTGGCGATGGGGAGGGGTCTAGGAGAAGTGAAGGCTGTCTGGATGATCTGTCCTCCTGCCCTAGTTCTGGGCCTAGGAAATAAAAGTCACTCTCATTTTCAGTGGCACCTGAGGGCTTACATTATCTATACATCTCATATCCAAACAGGATTTGTGGGAGCTTACATAATGATATCTAAATATCAAACTAAAGAAACACATCACAGACCTTTGGAAAGGAAGTTGGACTCTTCTAGAAGCAGATAACTATTTTCTAAGTGTTATCTGGATGCTCCCATTGTCCAAGGAAAGAAGAGAGAAACTTTTTTATTGGGACCGGAGTGTAGAAAAATTTGACATTTATTTAAGAGGAAGTGATGGCATTGATCATAGAATCTGAGCAAGATAGCAGAATTCTAGTGATCCATGTTTGGGGTGGGAGCAGAAGATGCAAGAAACTCCACTGCCTCATAAAACTCCCGGGGGCTGCTAATTATCTGATCAACTCAGCCTGCGATTCAAGTCTTTCCATGATTGGCCTCTGGGGCAAAACTAGAGGGAGGAGAAGAAACCTAAGTAAATATCTGGCAAAGGACACGATCACCTTCAAATTGGCCCAGAGCTGTTTCCATAACATTAGCTCAGACAGCTCCACATCAAACTACACGAAGACCCAAGAAAATAAAATGTGAGTTATCTCTGTGTTCAAGGTTCTGGGGTTGAGTCCCAGAATAAGGCAGAAGAGCCTTGTCACAGATCAGGCCACTGGGGATAAAGAATGTAAGTGAAAACAGTTGAGGCATGTAAGGACTGATTTAAGAGAATGCAGACAAGAATACTTTCTTTGACCTCCTTGGCTCGAAGAGGAAAGAAAGAAGCTTCCACACACCTTACACTGGATAGAGGGAGGAATGGGGTTTGAGTTGAGTAGATGGTAGTAGATTTTGGTGGGAGGTTATAATTTAAGAGCACGGAAGTAGAGCTCAGTAGCCCGAGCACTGGGCTGGTGAGTGAGTGGAGAAGGTGGTGGAACAACTGGAATTCTCGAATGTTGGGTTGCCAGGACCTGGGCATCATTACTCTTGGGCTCTCACTAGTTTCCCATCTGTTTGTATAACCTGCGTGCTAACCACAAAGCACATCTAAACAAAGTGGAAGAATCTATAGAAATAGGAAGGAATGAATTGGTTAGAAAGCCAAGAAAAAGTAAATCTAAGAGTTTGCTGCTTATAGAAACCAATAAAATAGCACAAATTTCTGGCAATTTTGATCAATCTAAAAATAAAAAACACAGAGGGGACTTAAAAATGTGAGAATACGGTATTTATTTGTGGGTAATAATATGAAAATCTCAATGAAATGCATCATATAAAAGGAAACATTTAAGTACTAATACTGAATTAAGGAGTGAACACTTAATTTTTTTTAAATGCTACGAATTGAAAACTTTTATAGGAGTGTTCCTTTAAGGACTAGAAAAGTTGTAGAGCCTAGAATAGGGAAGACATTCCAAATTCTGCCATGAAGCTAGTATAACCTTGACTGTGGACACTAAAACCCAACAAGGTCATGGGGAAGGCGGCTGTGGATCTATTTCACTTGGACCTCCATAGACCACAATCCCAAGTACACTAGTAACAACTCAAATCTAGCATTGCATTAAAAGAACATACCGTGACAGAGTATAATAAGTTTCAATGGCTAACTCTTAGGAAATCTAATAAGCAGTCAAAAAGAAAAAAAAAGACAAATTTGTTCTCTTGCCAGACAGTGAAAGAACCTCTGAAAGAAATCTAAAACCCATTTCTCTGGAGGGAAAACCCTCTAAAATAGGAACAAAATTATATTTTCTTCCTACAATGAAGAAGGAAAATCTTCATTCTTTTCAGAATGGTGAAGCATTAAATCAGGAAAAAGAAAAAGGAGGAAGCAAAGAGGGAACATTAGACTCTGAGGTTATGCTGGGCATTGTCAATAGAAGGCAAAAGATGAGGGGCATGAATACTAAAAAGATAGAGGAAAATGGTATTTGAGGTGGATATCATCCAGGTAACAAGACAAAAAAATTGTAAAGATTAATAAGCGAATAAAGAAGTACCAAAACAAATTAATAGCTTACTTAGCATCATTAATGATAGACAATGGAGCAGACCTAAGTGAAAAAAACTTTAAAAACCTCATGGACAGTCTCGAATAATTGGAGCGATGTCCTTGGACAGGAAGACTTACTATTGTTAGGAAACAACATCTGACCAATGAAGCCATACATTTAATCTGATTCCCATTAAAGCCTGTCAGTTGGGGCTTGACAAAATGATTCTGGATTTAGAAAGAACATGCAAGTGCAGCTCAGAAAACTATAAAATAGTACTGGTCATTGTCATTTGCTAAACCAGATATTATAGAGTATTACAGTGTCGAGTGGAGGGCTGAGAGGGGTTCTCATCTCTGAGACTACCACCACATTGATGATCTTGATTGATTCTATGAGGCTCCATTGATTCAGTAATGTGCAGCCAACGACTGTGAAATGCCAGTCAAGTGTCAGGCACAATGCATACAGCAGTGAATGACAGCTTCAGTCCCGGCCCACATGGAGCTGTCTGTCTGGAGAGGAAGGTAAACAGTTAGCTGCAAGTGTGAGGCTTACTCCCAGAGGGAGCTTCATGGGGACAGCAACCCCAGCAAATTTAGCAGAATGGAGAACGGGCTCCACTCCCCCTTCCCCACATAGGGGCGCTTAACTTGTGGACATCTATGGTGCCTGTCCATTTATTGGTTCAGGGCTTGTTCAGGGAACTGGAAACTCAAGGAACAAGACCGGCCTCCTCTGTGGGATGGCCAGTGGCCAGCACCAGCACTGGAGACTGCCTGGCCTCAGTCCTGACCTTTAATAGGAATGTGTAGACCCAGGAAGCTTTCACATTTGAGCAGATATCTGACTCATCTAGAAGGTGGGGGGTGCCTGGTAAAACACGATGCTGCCCCTCTCCTCCAGTGTCTGAGTCCATGGATCTGGGATGGAATGGAGGATTTGTATTACCTAACAGGCTGTGAGTGAGACCCTGAGTCAGCCCTACCCTTGGAAGCACTTTCAGGCCAATTCAGGGCTTCCTTTGAATGCAAGTGCATGGTGATGGTCTAGAAAAAAAGAAACCTGACTGAAAGGCAAGGGTGTAGAATAAACCATTCACATAAAAACACATGAAACCTGGCCTTCATTGGCTGAGAGTAGAGTAAGTCACACCCTCTGATGGTTCTGAGGTCTCATTGAGCCAAAGACATCCTGGGGGATGAGACAACCCCTCCATCTGAACCACTGAAGAGAGGACCCGTATTTCTGCCTGCTCCACTGCTGATGCCTGTCCTCCTCAGCCTTGCCCAACTCTGCCTGGGGAACCCCAGAGCTCTTCTCTTCCTTCACACCCTTTATCCATGCCAGTCTCCACAAGAAAACTAGGCCTTTGGAGCCTACTTCCTTCCCACCTTGTGTCTTCTGCAACTCACGTTTAGTCATCAGCAAAGTCTCCAATGGAAGACGCAGCTTTCTTCTGAAGCTTCTAGGGGCAGCCTCTTTCTCTTCCTACTACTGGCTTGTGAGGTGAGGCAGGAGTCCTCAGCCACTCTTATTGCCTCTTCATGACCATTTTCCTTCTCTTCTCCCAAACAATCTCCAGTTTTGAGTGTTCTGCCAGCCCAATCCAGCCTGACTCCTAGATCCCGCCCTCTGTTCCACGTCCCAGACACTGTTCCAACACAGCTCTCACCTCTCATCCATTTCCCCTTTCTACTGGACCTTTCCTGTCAGTCCCCACAAAGCTTTGTCTTCTATCTTAAAAAACTTAAAGACTACTCATTTTACCCCAGGTTCTCTCCCGAGCTCTGCCCTGTCATCTTAAGAAGTTGTCCACACTTGATAACTCAAACAGTTCTCTCTTCCATTCTCCCTCCAACCAGCTCCAGCCATGTTTTACGCAGCCACTCCATGGACACTGCTCTTCTCCAGGTCACAGTGGCCTCCACATGCTGGCCCTGACACAGCAGTCGGTTCTCAGGCCTCATCAACCCTGGCCTGTCTACAGCACTCCACACAGCTGAGCCCTCCTTTCTCAAAATACTGTGTTCACCTGGCCCTGACCACCGCACGCCTAGTTCCCTGGTGCTCCTGGGACTTCTCCCTCTTTGCTTGGCTGGCTTTTTCTCATACCTTGGCTCTAAATGTAGGAGTTGGTGGTGGTTGGACGCTGGCCATCTACATCCCCGCTCTTCTGGTGCTCTAACCTAGTCCACTGACTTGGATGCACCATGTGTCCTCTGAGGCATCTGAAATGCATACCTCCAGCTCAGACCTCAGACTTAGACGCTCAACTGATGACACTCTAGAAAGA